ACATCTCAACAGTGAGCATGCGCTGGATGATAGAAGTACAGCCCAATGTAGAGTACAAATGCAGGTTGTCCAGCAGTTAGAGCTACAGGTAAAGCCACATTTATTATTGATTTTAAATATTGCCTCAGTTTTCCTGAACCCCAACTTTCTGTAGTGTTTGTATCAGTTCCTGTGTACGCCTTTTTGGACAGATGATCCAAAGCCTGTTGTTACACCTTTTACTTAATTTACTTAACTAATTATTTATCTTAACTCTTTGGGAAAGTGGAGCTTGAGTTCACTCTTTGGACGTGCTGCTTAGATGGCTCAGAGTCCTGCATACATAGGCCGATGTAGCCAATTCCTGGTTTTCTGACTTTCCTGTGTGTAACCTGATGGCTGTCTGTTGTGGTACGGGTTCTCTGTGTTCTGGTTGTTACCCTGTAATTTGGAGTGAGATTGAAAGCCAATGAATGTGAGCAGGGAGGCCAGCCAGAAACGACCAGGTGTGCACGCACACACAAACAAGCATGTTTGGCAAAGTTAAGGTAGAAGTTATATGTGGATGTATTCCTCGGTTTGCAGAGTCCCCATTTCTCTCAATGACTGAGAATTATCGGGGACTATGTTCCCAGTCTTGCATTTGGAAATCGACTGAACACCATTGAATTCACTTTGCAACCAGAGGGGAAAAAAATGTATGCACCTCGTCCTGTTGATCCCCCTTGTGAGGGATTGGGAGGAACATTTTAAAAATGGGTCCTGCTTCCTGATGCAGCTTTGTGGTGTGCCTCCATATTGGAACAATAGTCCCATTCTTTGTATAATTAATAGAAAATTAGTTTCTAACAGTAAAAATTGGGTCAAAAATGGAGATGATTAAAATGTACAATTGCAGAAGCCTGACCCTGCAAACCTCATTTATGCAACTGAGTTCCAAAATGCTTTTGAGTGCTTGATGACTCATGTGGCTTCTTCCTCTGGCTGGTTTCGTGTAGGCAAGAGGTTAGCAGAGTAGGGGAAATTAAAACAATGCTGTACATTATATTATTACCAGCCATCGAAAAGCCTATTTCGTATGCAAGACAGCAATGTCGAGATATATGGAGAGCCCTAGGCTAAGTACAGAAGATAATTACATTTGGAATTTTACTGAGTTAAGTCATTTACAGCTTCAAATAGTTGCAGAGAAAAATCTGCCAAAACACACTTAAACTTTTTGTTGTGACTTTTTGGGATAGAAGGGATTTTTTTTAATTAGTTACCTTCTATGAGAAATTAGCTTTGAGGGTTTTGGGAAGATTTTTTTCAGATGTTTCTTTCTTTAGTGAGTTAATATTTTCCCATTTGAAATACGATGTAAATATTAGAGCAGCAAGATTGTCCAATAGTCAAAGGGCACGCTGTCCAATCCCAAAATTTTAATGCAAGTTTTTGTAAACATCTGTAAATTGAGCATGTTTGTTAAGAAAAAAAAGTAGATTTACCCTAGATTTCACTTAGGATTAAAGACCAGTAAGCCCTTGGAAAACTGCGTTCAACATTACAGGCTCTATATGTCTATAAGTATCTGAGTTTTATATGTAAGTATGTATTGGTGGTGGTATTTATAAAATGATGCAAGTTCCTGCATTTATTTATTTATTGGATAAAATTAAATCCTTAATGACTGGCTCAGAAGGAAGTCATCCACCAGAACTCTCATTGTTGGCAGATAGGCACCATAGGCAGCAAATTGGAGTTTTAGGCCATTCTTCTCAGTAGCGCTCTTTTGTTCATCTTTCCTCCTGCTTGGCAATGTGAGGGCAGGGGAAGGAGTAAGCATGTTGGTTTTTGTCTGGTTTTATCTTGTTTCCATTTTCCTAGCACCCCTGAAAGAGCCTTGGTAGCTCAACGAGTAAGCATTTGGCTGCAAGTGAGAGATTGGTGGTGAGAGCCCATAAGCTACTCAGCAGAGAAAGATCTATGTGCTCTTGGCCTACAAAACTGAAAATATTTTCTCTCTGACCTTTTACAGAAGACAGATGCCAACCAATCCCTTGTCAAAGGATTAAGAAAACAATAATCATGAATTTTACCATCTTATTAGAAACTCCCTTAGCTTCGCAGCTAAGAAACTGCAGTAGACCTACAGGTGTCAGTCCTCCTTCCCTTTTGCTTCTCAACTGAGGTGTAGAAGACCTGTCTAGTCTGCACATCTGCCAGACTTCTCCAACAGCAGCTCTACACCAGAAGTGTTTGCTGATCTTGGGGGCCACAGAAAGCCCACTAAGGGATATTCAGTCATGCATTCATGCTTAAAATCCGTCAGGAGCCTGTTCCATAGCAGGAACCTTGCCGGAGCCACTACAGCATACAATCGTGAGCAAAACAGATCAGGCTGCCCTCCTGATTCTTAATTGTAGAAAGGAAAATAGGTGATAAATAATTCCCCACGGTTCTGGCCATTTATTGGGCAGTGCTGGCTGGCATTAATGGGTGATTGAAAATACCAGAAATGTGCTCAACAGAGGGTGGTGTTTCACTGGTAGATAATAGGCCCCCAATACAAAGCACATTTTAGCCATTAGCTATTCAATTGGAGCAAAGGGACAATAAAGAGTGAAAAGTCTTTAACATTAAAAAAAACACAACTTGCCCTGCAGTAGAATCACAGATGTCCTCTACAGGGATAGCAGGGAGAGTGTTGGGTTGCAGACCTGGCATGGTTGGAGTCTTAGGGCAAGGTGCAGTTTTGTTCGAAGCCAGTCCTGTTTTCTGAAATTCAATGTTTCATTGTGTTGACACTGTTGCCATCCCACACATCCATGTCTGGAAATGGACTCTTTCGATGTACTTGGTTAACAGTCCTTCATGCCCGTATAACCTCAGGTACTGGGGAAATTTGGTTCTTGCAGTGGCAAGAATGCTCAAAGTTCCTGCGTTAGTGCTCCAAACAGCCAGTCGCCTTTCTCTGTTTGTCATTGCCATTATGCCCCTGTTCTTCTAACAGCAGGCTCTCATATGTCACCTCATTGGGGAGCATGCATGCCCTCTTTGTGGTTCACCCAATAGCTACTTCGACAATTTTCCCTTAAAGCATCTCCCAACCTTGCAAATTTGCCCCAACCCCAAATCTCTCCATGCAGATCACAAGGCTACCACTAATTAACCTGAATCACAAAAGTATTTGTGCCAAGCAACTCAATGGGAAAGAACATTCAAGTTTGTACAATCCCTGAAGGATGATCACTGTGTCAGAGGAGAAGGAAAATCTACACACACACACATACAACACAACACCCCACCCCACCCTTTCTCACCTTATAAGGTCTCTCTCTACAAAGCAGTACTTAGATCCCTGGAGCTTACATTAGTCATAACTAGTATGCCCCCATTGTAAAAGCAAACCCAGTAAGACCAAATCAGATCTTATAATATGGATCGATTGAAATTCATTGTTTACCCTAGAGAATCATTGTAAAAGAGATTTCCCCAAAGAAAAGGGAGGACCCAGAAAGCCAGTGTGGCTCAGACCCCAAATGGGAGGCCCTCTCTCTCTGACTCATTAGTCAAATCTCTCTCAAGAGTGGGATGGGAATTCTTTTTCTGAATCGCCACTGTGAGTCACAAGGGTGAGTGACGACGAGAGTGCTTCCCTCTGTGGTGCTCTCTGAACAGTCACTAGCATCAAACGGCGAATCCTGTGAGATTCTCACAGCGAGGCTTCAGACAGGCAGGCCGAATTAAAGGCAACGAGTCAGGGATTGCGTTCTGGCTCAGACCCTGTATGTAATCCACACCAATCATGAGAGCTACCCGGTTTGTGTCTAATGCATGATGTAATTCACACGTCAACGTTTTAATATCATACTGTTTACCAAAATCATCAAAGGGGTATATAGTATGTATCTATCCGAAGGGGAATCGGAACATTTGTGGGAATTTCCACTATCTTTTAATTTTTCCCCCTGGACTTTTGAAACCCCCCTTTTGTGTTTGTGTGTAGTATGTATGTTTGTTTATATCAAGGTGCCAGCATTTAATAGAAGAGGATTGACTAATCAAGTTCATCTTGTGTTGCACCTAATTCTTCTGTCATTGAAAAAGTTAAGAGCATAAAAGGCATCCAAGTAGACATTCTGAGCTTTTGACTATTTCCCTCTGCTTTCAATGATTACCAAGACAGCTGGCATTGTTTTTGACATTTTGCCGATAGACTAGATGGGGGTGAATTACAACCACTTGGGAGCCTTTCAGTATATGCCACCAGGACGTGAGCTGGGTCTTTCCAACTGTACACTTAGTCATCTGACATCAAGACAGAAGGGTCCCACAGAGATCATTTGAGTTAAGGACCTGGTTCCTTGAAGTCAGTGAATGATATTTCAGCTGTTAGATGTTCTCTTTTGACGGATTTTTCTGGGATGATAGGCATATGAAAAAGTGTGTTAGCTGACATGGGGAAGGTATTTCTACAATCAGTATGTACGGTTTGTAAAAATCACCCCATGTGTTATTCCCACCCAATACCCCAAGTAAGTGGGTCAGAGGCAAAGCAAATGTAAATATTGTGAAATTGAAAGCTGCCCTCCCAAAATGGCACAGTCACGTTTATAAGGAAATCCTTAAAGCATCCCTGATAGGTGACCTCCCACAACCCCTCCTCCATGTTTATGAAGATGTGTCTTTTAAAAAGGGGAAAGGCCTCAGATTTGGGGTTATAATCCTATTCAAGGCTCACCATGTGTCAAGAGACAGGGCTCAGCACATGCTTCCTATAAACCCTCATCCTATAGATTCTTGACGATAAACAGTAAAATCGACCCAGAGGGAAAGGACTTGGGCAGTGTGTGCCTGGTTGGTGTTCAGGTGAGAGAGTGGTCTTCTATTTTTTCTTCCTTAATAATTTGATTCCATCCAACCACTATTTACCTAGCATACATTGTTTTCAATGCACTTCTTGCCTGTAGTGCCCACTCCAGTAAGGGGTTAAGGGGTGAGGGGTGGTTAACAATGGCTCACCTTGAGCTACACCACCAGGCAAGCCTACAAGATAGAGGGGGAGCCTGTGGAGGCTTTTGTGGGGTGGGGGTGGGGGGTGGGGGGAGGCAGGAGAAAGGACCGTTT